GTACATTCCCATCTTCTAATCAAAACTTAAGGCATGTAAAAAAGAACTGATAATTCCCTAAGTTTTACACGGAAACTATTGGGGCAGTATTATCCTTAATAAAAAGGAACTGAGGCGTAAGCACACAATTTACAAAGATAAATCTTAAAGAAATCTATCCAGGGCCAGGGCGATAGCTTACACCGGTATTCTAACAATCTGGGAGGCTGAAGTGGGTGGATTGCTTGAGCTCAAGAGCTCAAGACCAACCTGAGCGAGACCCTGTCTCAGAAAAACTGGGCCGGTGCGGTGGCTCATGCCTATAATCCTAGCACTTGGGAGGCCAAGGCGGGTAGACTGCCTGAGCTCACAGGTTCAAGACCAGGCTGAGCCAGAGCGAGACTGCATCTCCAAAAATAATAGCTGAGTGTTGTGGTGGGCACCTGTAGTCCCAAGCTACTCAGGAGGCTGAGACAAGAGACTCAGTTGAACCAGAAGTTTGAGGTTGCTATGAGCTATGAAGCCACTGCACTCTACCCTGGGTGACAATTTGAGACTCTGTCTCAAAAAAAAAAAAAAAAAACTATCCACACTGACAAAGTAGCTTGATGCTGAAAAAGAAATGGTTTCAGACTACCGAAATGCTGGAAATATTTCCATTTATATTGTGTAAAAGTAACATTTTCTACCAAAATCAGAATGCACGGCTATATAATCCAAACATCATTAATTTAAATCTCAAAAGGTCCCCTCAATTCAATGTCCAAGAAACAAATTAATAAAAACAAAGGGCAGCATCTGTGGCTCAAAGGAGTAGGGTGCCGGCCCCATATGCTGGAGGTGGTGGGTTCAAACCTAGCCCTGGCCAAAAACTGCAAAAAAAAAAAAAAAAGCCCATTGCCTAAGGGATAATCAGTACCAAACTTACTGGATCAACAGTTGGCAAAACATCTTTCTTCTCCAGGCCATCAACTTCATCTTCATCTGTGCTGTATTCTTCCATTGTTTCACCACTGACAAAGTGGATGACCCTCCTTGGGACTTTCTTCTTTTTTCCTATGACTCCGAGTTCCACATTGTCAAAGCCTCTCTCGTTACTCATCTGTATCAGTAATAAATTAAGAAAATGAGAGCTTCAGATGAGATTAATTTTCTTTCATTACACACAAAAAATTTCGGTTGCTTTATAGAAAGGAGTAACAGGAAAATAACAATTTTTAAGCAGCTTTTTTTTTCTTAAAAAACAATCTTACAGGCTTGGCACCTGTAGCTCAACCGGCTAAGGCACCAGCCACATACACCTAAGGTGGCGGGTTCGAATCCAGCCCAGACCCGCCAAACAACAGTGATGGCTGCAACCAAAAAAAATAGCCGGGCGTTGTGGCGGGCGCCTGTGGTCCCAGCTACTTGGGAGGCGGTGGCAGGAGACTCGCTTGAGCCCAGGAGTTGGAGGTTGC